GTTTCTTCAGACACAAGTTTTCAAAAAATCTGGTCAACATAGCCCCGGTCTCCCCTAACAGTGGCGTAACCTCTTTCAATTCAATGTGAATAAATCGAAATATATCGCTTTTTTGTGACGTGCCGCTAATAGCGTCTATAGATTCAGCCCGCTGTTTGTTTGTATACTTCTTGGATTACCACATGCGGCAGAGATACCTCGCTGGCACGCGAGGTCAAAAGTGTCGCCATCGCTAGACGGATAGAATGGACGCCATCTTGGATTACCCGAGCGACGTGCGTTTAAATCAAAAATGGAGCTCAAAATACGGAAGTTTGAACTCATATTTCGTGGGTTAATGTATTGCTTGAATAAAATCGGTGGAAATGCCTGTATGAACTATGTGCACTCTCTAGTTTTCAAAAATGCAAGAATTACAAATTACTGAACAAGCTCATGTCGAGGTATATGGAAAATAACCACGAAAGTCTGAGGAGCCACAAAGAAACGGGACGGCTGGTAATATTCTAAAATGGCGGTCAGTAGCCGGAACAAAATGGACGGTTAAACTTGCGTGTCGATATTCTTCTGTTTTCAACAAAACTATGAATAGGTACCTAGTCATGCCAAACGGAAAGCGCGTAGCTGCAAAGATATACCACGAAAATCAGAGCGATCGTTGAGCAAAGGGGATGAGACGCTAATTCAGGCGCTTATTTTTAGGCAAAGTAGCCAACTTGACTTCAGTCTCGAACGTCCCTTGTATTAGACCCGTTCAAAAATAATTCTAAAAAATTTCATCGTAGGTAAATTAGAGCCACCAAATAATGAGAAAATAACGAAAAGCAATTAACGGCGGTCATCTTGGGAAATCTTACGGGTCCATATGATAGATACGGTTTGCGTTTCGATTTATTTTCGTTCTTGCCTTAACTTGCATATTTTCAAAGTCTCATACTGGTAGCCTAAAATGAAATAGGTACCCCAACCCTTAGCGCGACCCCATCAGGAGTTCTCGCTTTGAAATTTACGAATTTTTCAAGCGTTGTCTAAAACAGTCAACTTAACGAGGATTTTGACGCGTTCGTTCAATTCTAAATTGAACAGGTCATGCTACTAGAGATAAGCAGGAATATCTGGACAGACAAACAGGAGTGGATACCTGCTGAGACGGAAAGAACCAGTAGAACAAGTTGGAGTTGTGCGCCTTGTCGATGTTGAAGAACCCTGAGTAGCTCTCAATTTCCTCCTCGTAGTTGGGAAGCTTGACGCGGCTCAACCTGCGAGCCTCCTCGATTTCGCCGTTCTCCAGGAGTGAAGTCAAGATGAGGGGATCCCCTGACTTGAGCACCGGTGGCTCCGGTTGCCAAAAGGGGTAGGCATCCCGGAAGAATAACCGCCGTAGGTCTTCCGGGCCGGACGGAAGTCGAGACTGGAACTCCTGCAAGACGTCGGCTGGCGTGAGGGGGTCGTTCGCCTTCGAGGACTTGGGGAACTTGACCGAGAGTGACCCGGCCACGCTGGCGAAGAATAGTGGGAGATGTAGAAGCCACATTATAACTGGACCAAGACGCGGACGCGGGCTGTTGACAACTGGAGTCTCCTACGCTTGCTAGCTGCATGTTCACATTTTCCGCTTCGTACAACTTCAGGTTTAGTCTGAGGCCCGCGGGCGTTGACACCTCTGTTGCCGCTCTTGCGCTTGCAAGACGCTCGCACCTCCTTTCGATTAATCTTCCCGTAAATATGAAGAATATAACACTGAACAGGCACAAGGGGGTGAACCCGCATTGGTTCCCGTAGCTTTCCCCCTTAGTCCGAGTGGGTTCCCAGATGAACCAATTAAAACCCTGGTTCATGCTGGTTCCCGATTCAAAATGTCCCTTGTCCGAACTATGGTTCCCTGCGGGTGAATTCGTTTTTTGCAAGAAGCGGCAACTGCGCTAGGCAAACGGTGGAGGACTGGCTGTAACGAAAAGGAGGCGCGCCTGAAAAAAGCATTATCATTTTTTTAATCATAAATCATAAAAGATCATTTATTTGAAAATCCTATGCTAGCCAACTGATTTGACAATGATGATATACGTAGACTAATAGATTGTAAACAAAATACCTCAATAGCTGATAACCTTTCAGGTACCAATACTGCGTTCTGTGTTCATGTTGCTGTTTCATATATCAGGGAACCTCCGGTTGAGCTAAAGTGAAGTGTGTGACTTTCATTTCTTTTTTAATTTCCCTTTTTAGTGCTTGATGTTTACTTTACTTTTCTCACTCGAGTTTTATATAATGGAAAATATTTACGATGAGAATGAAAAGAGTTAAAGATTGTGCAAAATTACAAGTTTGGAATCCAGAAGAAAATGGCTGGTGATAGTGAGCGATGGACGTGTGCAAAACGAGGATGCAAAGCGTATCGAAAAATTGAAGGAACATATCCTCTGCTCTCCTGAAATGTTTAGAAACCTGGATCATTTTTTGAAATTTGTCTTTATGAATCAGGCACTATTTTTTTTCATTTTTACAACATTTTTAACCATGCCTATCTTTTTAGTAGACAGTCCTAAGCCTGTCAAAATGGGAAGGGAAATGTTAGCACTTGAACAAGCAGTGTTGCAATTTTGAATTAAACAATTTTAAATTACGAATTTACAGATGGGAACCAATTCGGCAACTCCCACACAAGGATAGAGTTCTTCGATTAATTGATTAATCGATTAATGCAAGTTCTGCAAAGATTCGGACGGAAGAATTCTGCGATCGATTAACAATCGAATCGAACTAAAATTACTCCATTGATTGATCATTTAATCGAAAAGGTTAAATACATCTTTTGAAACAGTTCGTCTTTAAAATACCAACTTGAGCTCTGAGATGCCCGCTGGGGTTCCCAAATGTACCTAGTTCAGCATTTTGAGGTCCATTTCACAAGCCCCCCCACTTCCACAAAAAAATATGAAAAATATGCCATCGTTTTGTAAGTGTTTT